CCCCCGTTCTGTGGGGGTGGGGTTCCCCCTTAAAATTCCTAACAGTCCACGCACTTTTTTTTTTTTTACTTTTTAACTTGGGGTCCCTCCTAACATTCCTACCGGACCTGTATCTGTACCAGACCTGGGTCTGGTATGGATCGGGAGGGGGACTACATATCGTTCTTTTTTTTTATTTGTATACATTTACTCTGGGCAGCAAGTGGTTAATGTGTTGGGCGAGCTCTATAGCCAATAGGGAGGCTTAGAAGGTGGTTCGGGTTGGGCGATCATAAAGTTTTCAAATAAAAGCAAGATTTGTGCATAACTTGCGCTGCCTATATGTCAGTATCGCTCACACATTCCATTTCCACGGGCGCTAAGCTCTGCGTATATGTGATTTCCGGTTATGGGATGTGCCCAGGTAGGTGACAGGTTTACTACAAGTGAGAACGAAGAGTAAGAAGAGGACTTTACCTGAGTGATTGAATCTCCGAACAAGAAGACTCGCGGCCAGGAAATCATGGCAGTTGTTACGGTGGAGATCTAAAACACAGATTACACTTGAATGCAGAAACCGCAAGACAGACAGGCAGACAGGCAGGCAGGCAGGCAGACAGACAGGCAGACAGGCAGGCAGGCAGACAGACAGGCAGACAGGCAGGCAGACAGACAGGCAGAGAGACAGGCAGGCAATGATATAAGAATGAACATTTTACAAGTCTTCCCTTCCCCCACAGAGAGCAAAGAACAATCCATCGGAGCGCAATGACCTTGACAGGCTCCATCACTACGATGGAGGCACCAAATGGAGTGTCAGATGCAGCCTGGGCGCCCCAATCCCACTCCATCATCACCAGCAAGTCATTAATATATAGGGGTATATTTGCAGGACCCTCCTCCAATCTGCCCCGCCCCCTACAATCTGCACCCTGCCCTCCCCCCGGCTATACTTACAATTGGATGAATTCTCCTTCCCCTCCGCTGCTCCCCATACTGCCATGTAGCACAGCCCTGCACTCTGGATTTTAAATTTCGCTGGCATATGGCGAGCACTCATTGGTCAATGTTGTCACCTTACCGCACTGACCAATGAGAAGCGCTTCTCATTGTTCAGCGTGGTCAGAAGTGCTCCTCTCGAGTCAGCGCGGTCAGAAGTGCTCCTCTCGAGTCAGCGCGGTCAGAAGTGCTCCTCTCGGGTCAGAAGTGCTCCTCTCGGGTCAGCGCGGTCAGAAGTGCTCCTCTCGAGTCAGCGCGGTCAGAAGTGCTCCTCTCGGGTCAGAAGTGCTCCTCTCGGGTCAGCGCGGTCAGAAGTGCTCCTCTCGGGTCAGCGCGGTCAGAAGTGCTCCTCTCGGGTCAGCGCGGTCAGAAGTGCTCCTCTCGGGTCAGGTAGTACTGCAGGGGCGTCCTGAGGCCGGATGTCTCCTGGCACAGGTACTGGGTGACACCCAAATGTCATTGCGCATGCGCGGCCATCTTGGTAATACCTCCCGGTGGCCATCTTAGGGATGGTCGTGCATACCTTATCCTGTCGGGTCCCCAAGCTCACTCCTGGGATAGACTACAATGTCATTACAAATTAGTAAACTAAACGTGAGATTGTAGTCCATCACAGGAGTGAGCTTGGAGCGGTGACTACCTTACAGCACACACAGGGACCATGGGGAACAAAAGTAGCCACCCTCCAGAAGGAAGGACAGTGTCAGCACCAATACAGAGATGATTGGAGGATCTACAGCCGAGTGATACACAAATAAGACACATTGTTGTTACGAGTTAAGGAACTTGAATGCAATTTTACGATTTAACTCCTGAGTTTAGTGTCACTTTGAAACTCCTGGATCAGCACAGCAGCCAGGGACCTGGACTCTTCATCAGGAAGAGTGGACCCTGTGTGTCCTCAGTGACAGGTCATCTTTATAAGTAACACCTACAAAGGATGAAGTCAGAGATTCCACAATCTGCGCTGTGTACAGCAACATTCACACACACATCCTGCAATACAAGGAACTGATTACAGACTAGAGAAGGATTGTCATGTCAGTCAGTGACCAGGTCTCAGTGACCTCCTGGACTTCTATGGGACCTGGTCACACACAGACCAGAGATTACTATAGGAAGAGTGCAGCCATTCAGGAAATGTGCAGACAGACAGACGGACGGACTCACAGTGTGACAGGCGGAGGAGGAGGAAGCCCGGCTGTGCGATCAGACAGGAGGGAGGAAGAAGTCATTGGCATCCCCTCCCTCTTCCTCCTCCTCCATAGCTGAGACCAGCCCTACTCACTGCACATACCGCGCCGTCTGGTGGTGACACCGGAGTATAGCCAGGGAGAGACAGGTTACATGAACACTTATGGATGGCTATACAGTATTTATACATGCAAACTCCGGCCCAACAGCTGAGGTGAAACTACAAACCCCATGATGCATCTGCCTCTGAGAGTCATACCTGTGACTGTCAACAGCCTTGCAATGCCTCATGGGACTTGTAGTTCTAAAACAGCTGAAGGGTCACGTTTGTCTGCCCCTGGACTAGCTGCGTGTAAATCCTAAATGACATTGGTTTGTTTGTTTTAACACGCTGGGGGGAATTTATCAAAACTGCAGCAGGTAAAATGTGGAGCAGTTGCCCATGACACCAATCATCTTCTCTCTTTCATTTCCAAAGCTTAACTGAACAAAATAAAGAAAAAAGCTGATCAAAATGTTGCCTGCTCCATTTTTTTTTAATGAATTCCCTCCACTTTGTATTATTAACAATTGGCATTTATATATATATTTTTTTTAAAATGTCACCTTTTTCATTCTTTGTTGCATCTCAGGTCTTCGGTGTGTTTCCATGGGTGCCACATGCACAGCAATTGCAGCAAAGTAGCTCATGCTGCATTTTCAGCTGCAAGCGCACTGTGCGCTTGACGCGCACGCCCACATGCAGGAACATTTTTTTGAATTTTACTAGCTGCATTTGGGGTGCCATTAAAAAGTAATGGCACCACAAGCACAACGCATGTTTTGATCACATTGCATAAACACACCTCAAAGTGAACCGGGACTAAAACTAACCTCTTTCTTCTAGGCCCCGTTCACATCTTGGCAGGGCCAGATATACTCTCTCTGCTGCTCCAAGATCAGGTTCCTCAATGCGCCCCCTCCACCACACTCACCAGGGATATGTGGATGCGCTTTGGTCTCAGCAGGGCGGCATTTGGGTCTCAACAGGGATGCGTGCAGGTCTCACCAGAGCTACATTTGGGGCTCTCCATTTGGCTGCTGGGCTCTCTAGGGCTGAACGGGTGGGCTCCGGGCTTGTGCCAGGCTCCAGGGCTGTGCTGGTGGTGTGGGGCTGTCCTGTGCAAGGGGTGGGAAGGAGGAAATGTGCAGCCAGACCATCCATCACTATCAAAGACACCTGCCTGAGGTCCCCAGCAAGCCGAACTCCTTACAAAATGTAAAGAGCCAGTATCGGCCTTTAGTATACTAGTATTGGTATAGGCTGTGCCGCTCGGTGGCCTGGTGGGGAATCGGGCCCTGCATCTTGGTGTACTGGGAACACATATTGCATTTGCATGTTTTTCTTTCCCCTGTGCTTGCCACGCGTTGCCCATTGATTTAAATGGGTGACACACGCGTGACAAACTCGGGAAAGTAGACCATGTAGCAGATTCTGCTACAGGCATACCATGTTCTTCTTCTTTGTCTCTGTGCATGTTTACACACACACACACACACACACACACACACACACACACACACACAGTGGCGTAACATACACATACCATGTCCTCAATTATCTACAAACACTCAGCGATCACTGAGTGTTTGTACCTTGCTCTCCTCTGACACAGGATGCTGAGCGAGCAGAGAGGAGAGCCCAGCCTCCTGTGACAGCGCGACCTGTCTCCGCCCACACACGGCTCTGCCGGACTGTGATAGGCGGCTAGAGCGGTGTGGGAGGATAGACATCGGCCGCTCGCAGCGCTTGGCCGGCTGTCACTTTCTCTCCTCCCCGCCGGGACACAGAGCAGTGCCCAGCGGGGAGGAAAGAAATCACGGATGCGCCGATCGGCAGGAAAATGGCACTTTCGGCATTTAGCCATAAGTGCCATTTTCGCCTGGCGCCCCCCCGGCTGCTCCCGTTGTTACGCCACTGCACACACATCCAAGAAATGCCACCAGAACCATCCACACATTTGCTCACATGCGGCAGTGCACTGCTTAGAGTAGAGGTAGGCAACCTTGGCACTCCAGCTGCAAAGGAACTACAAATCCTATGAGGACTGGAGGCAGAGGCATAATGGGGGATTCGAGCCACGGAGTGCCGAGGTTGTCTACCCTTGGCTTAGATCCTATTACGATTGGGGTCATTGTTATTCAACACATTTGTAATGTCCTTGTATGATTTTATTTATATTATACACGTGTTGCATGTTCATTCTGCGTGTTGTATTATCATAAATTCTTCTTTCTGGAGAACACAGAACTGGAACATAAAACAATAGACTCTTCCGGTATAAAATCTTTAATGTTTTGCTGATAATTATTCACAGATCAGTCGGCATTCATTGCAAAAAAAATATTTACAGCATGTTATGAAGATTGTTATGAAGCCTGCAGGAGCATAAAGGTTTTCAGAGAGCAGAACAATATTGATTTGAATGCAGAGCAGTCTGCAAGTCATGGGACGCGTCTTTACTGACATTCCAATAACAATATGAACATGCAGTAGAAAAGGGGGAACGCGTATTTTTATTTAAACCTGAATATTTGGGCTCATTTATTGAGGTGTCTGAAAGACAGGTCTATAACTCTGCCTGGCTGCTATGTGGTAATACAGAAACGTTTTCCCCTGACACTGGTCGCCGCAGTGCCATTTCAGAGGTCACTTCCTTACTGGTTTGCGATTCGCTGGTAACAGTCCATAGTGGCAGATCTGTCAAATCCAATGTGAAAAACTACAAGACACTGCGTTGTATTATAGTAACTCCTTTATTAACATTTCTTGAGCCATGTGTGTCTAAACTTAGATTTTTGTCACTGGCAAAACCTTTACTACCTATTAAACTCAATAAAAATGATAAAAAAAAATGAAAAAATACATAATACAGGTAAACCAGTCATAAAAAAAAAATCACACCCCTCCGGAGTTTTCTAGGCTGTATAGGCCAAGCCTAAATGTACCAATGTCCTCCACCATGATCCCCATACAGCAGGGGTAGCCAAACTCCGGCCCTCAAGCTGTGGTGAAACTACAAATCCCATGATGCATCTCTTTCCGGGAGTCATGTCTGAGAATCCACATGGGATTTGTTGTTTTGACCACAGCTGGATGGCCAGAGTTTGGCTGCCCCTCCAATATTGATAAGTGTACACTCCTCTAGGCCCCATGTGATTGCCATAGGGCCTGGTGATTGGCTGGTCATGCCCAAAGCACTGCTTTTTGGAAGGAGGCACAGAATGTGTAATATTCACTCTCCGGGGGGGAATCAGAGTGGTGGTAAAGCCAAGTATGAGCATCAGAAGGTACATAGTACAGGGTGTGGTATGGATTTATTTTTTTTACAAAACCTTTAACTTGGTACAAATGCACAAATATAGTTATATACTAGAAATCAGCAACCTCTGTATGTTGCAGAACTATAAGTTCCAACAAGCCTTTCCAGCCAAATGTGGAAGCCATTCTATGAGCTGAACACCTATTCCCCTGAAAGCGGCTTATGGAAGTGCCTCTGACATCACTAAAACATATGACGTCACTAGTTTTGTTGACTTACAGGATGGTTCATGAACTCACATGTACGCAAACATAATGAATGAGATGAACAAGAGTCGTAGAGGATTTCAAAATGAAACATAGATCACATGACATCAATGGTTTGCCGGGCCGAGGGCATCATATAATCTCTGTGCCGCCAACTGTACCAACTCCCGCAGCGTCTCATCTTCATCCAGTCCTTCCTCACTTTCCACAGTCTATAGGAGGAAACAGCAGTGACACGTTTTCATTTATAAACAGAGGAATGCGTAAGATCATGCAAAGGACAACATTGGAAACAATTCACCCTTCATCTTAACAGAAATGACACAATTACAATCCCAGGGGAGTTTATTAGAGAAGTGCCATCATTGGTTGTGCGTCACCTACCCTTGTTTCCAGAGACAAGACGGCCGTCTTACCATCCACAGTCACAGTCATGGTGGAGTTATCGTTATTACTCACACAATCCTCGCCAAACATATCCCTGACAGGCAAGAGCAGAGGAGAGATAGATTTAATATTATGTCTATAAAAGCACAAATGGTGATTTTTATAAAATGGGAAACAGCAGAAGAGTTTATGGGTGACTTGATGAAATAACACAAGTATAATATTCGCTGTATACTGCTTTTGTTCATTTTAAACAGGATTTCCAATATTTGTCCCAATTAAACCTTCATTGTGGAACAAGATTAGATCATTTTTCAAGAATTCAAGAGACAGAATTTCAGAGCCCTGAGCAGGGTTCCCTTCCACAAATGGCAATAATAAACCCCAAGTGCAATATCCAGTTTGTTATCCAGCTCAACATTGGGAGCTGTAAAACAAACTTCATTTTCCTGTGTTACGCTATTACAATTCCTTTTTTTCTTTCAAATTATTTTATTAGTTTGACAAAAAACAAATATACAATTAATACAAACATTTTAGTGTCTTCGAACCATCAACAATACTTATTTTTTTCTCAAATATAGTCTATTCCTTATAAATATAACCGATAAAATGTGTGCAATATGAAAGATATTAAAAATATATTGAGAGCTTTGCTCATTGTTGTATATAAAAAAAAACTATTCTTGTGTACGTAAAAGTGCCTTATTTAGCAAGTTTCGATTGTGCTAGCGATCTATAATTAAACTAATAACCCCACTATAAACCTTAAAGGAGAACTATGGGGTCAGTGTTTTTCCCCATAGTTTTCCTTAGGGTAACGGGACGACATATACTAGCGTCCTCCCGTCACCCTAAGCTCAGTATACCACGAGCTACAGCTCGCGGTATACTGAGACGCCGCAGCCGGAGCGGATCCCGACTTCGATGTCGAGATCCGCCCAGCTGCGTGAGTGACAGCTGGCTCTGCCTATTAAAAGATGCTCTTTTAATTTCAAGAACCGTAATAGGTTCCTCTATGATCTTTTTATGGTCTAATGATAGGTGCGGTATAGATATGTTATCCAGAAATGCCTTCACTGTTTCCGGTGAGACTGGGGTGTGATCCTGATAAAGC